GGTTTCGCTAGGCTGGGCTGACGTGTCCCCGTGTGCTCTGCCCGGGCAGCAGGTGCCATCAGCCACCTGCTTGGCAGCCAACAGCTCGTACAGCTCAGAACTCTCTGAGCACACATTCTCACTTCCTTCTGTCTCTTCTTCTCTCCACTCCTCTGTGTTGTTCCAGGTCCTGTATTTGGCAGCAAGGACAACTTCCATGGGCTGGCTATTTTCCTTGATACCTATCCCAATGATGAGGCCACAGAGGTGAGTGCTCCAGGCAGCCTGTGCAGTGCCCAGCAGGCTGTTCCCTTCCTGCTCCGAGTGCTTCTCACCTGATTCAAGGAAAAGCCTCTCCCTAGTTGGGCATGGTCTGCTCTTCCTCTCCTGGGAGTTGGGAAAGAGAAGAGTCTGTGTGCATTAATGGAGATAAGCAGCTCCTTGCTCTTTCTTGTGCTGCTCTTGGCTACACAGATGTTTACAAGGCATCTTCTCTGTGCGGGAGGGCAGGCACAGAGCTGGTGTAAACCCAGCACCACCTGCTAATATTCATCCTGAGTATTATTCCCTGACCTCTGGGCTTTGGATACTCATCCCATGATGTTTCTGCCCTTATTTTCTCTTTGCAACATGTGTGTGTCTGAAAGAAACTCCTGGGCTGCCTTTTTGCTCCAGAATTCCCCATGGCCATGGGACAGATCAGTCCTGTGAGAGCTGGGGATCCTTTTCTTGTGTCCTGCTCTGTGTTTGTGGATCTCATTATGGCACAGTCAGGAAACAAAACTGTGCTTTGGGGTCTGTACCATCAAAACCATGATAAAAAGGTCAGGAAGCATCTGGAAATGACCCATTTCCCTGTTGTCTTCATGCTCATGGGAGGTGAATTCCTGCCTCCAGTTGTCCTCTCCTGGTGTAGGTAATCCACTGATCACAAAACCCTGTGTGTGGTTTTGCTGCTTATGTAGATTTCTGTCCATTCTGGGGCTTGTGCTCAAGGAGCAACTGGATGTGGCAGTCAGGGTTAGCTGCCAAGGTAGGGATTGGTCACAGGTTGGACTGGATGCTCTCAGAGGTCTTTTCCAACCTAAATGATTCTGGGATTTTTACCCAGCCACTCTGCAAGTGTGGGACACTCTGGCTGCCCTGACCATGGAGTACAGGGTGGGTTTGTTTACAGAATCACAGGGTGGGGGTCTTGAAATGGGAGCTCAGGAAGGGAGGCTCTGCTTTAGGCAGCTCTGCCTTGGTTCAGAAGCAGCTTTATGTGGAGCAGCAGCCGTGCCCATCCCGTGCTCTGTGCCAGACCAGGGCCCTGCTCCCACCCCGCGGGCTCCGGCTGTGCCCCAGAGCTCCCTCAGCGTGTCCCCTGTCTGTCCCCACAGCGTGTGTTCCCCTACATCTCAGCCATGGTCAACAACGGCTCCCTGAGCTACGACCACAGCAAGGACGGGCGCTGGACGGAGCTGGCCGGCTGCTCGGCCGACCTGCGCAACCAGAACCACGACACCTTCCTGGCCGTGCGCTACTCCCGCGGCCGCCTCACGGTGAGAGCATGGGGTGAAGCTGCTCAGGGGCAGGGCTGGCTCCAACAGGGGCTGGAGATCCTGTTCCAAGCTCAGCCAGTGCTTCTCTGGCACTTCCATCTCCAAAAGAGGTGCAGCCAGGCAGGAGAGTGGTGTGCCAAAAGGGATTGATTGCCTGGAGAGGGTGTGCAGTGTCCCTCGCTGGAGGTGTTAATGAATCATCTGGGCACAGTCTCTGTGATTTGGGGTGACCGTGTTCGCAGGGGTCTTAGGATGAGGGAAGAGATGAGGATCTTACTCCATGTTTCAGAAAGCTTGATTTATTATTTTATGATATATATTATATTAAAACTATACTAAAAGAATAGAAGAAAGGATTTCATCAGAAGGCTAGCTAAGAATAGAAAAGGAACAATAACAAAGGCTTGTGACTGACTGAGACAGTCCGAGCCAGCTGGGCTGTGATTGGCCTTTAATTAGAAACTACCACATGAGACCAATCCCAGATGCACCTGTTGCATTCCACAGCAGCAGATAATCAATGTTTACATTTTGTTTCTGAGGCCTCTCAGCTTCTCAGGAGAAAAAATCCTAAGGAAAGGATTTTTCAGAAAATATGGCTACAATTTGGGATGGCCCTGCTTGAGCAGGGAGGGTGGAGCCTGTCCCATGGTTCTGAACATTCCTGGTGTGACTCTCTTGGTTGTGCAGGTGATGACTGATGTGGAAGACAAGAATGAATGGAAAAACTGCATTGATATCGCAGGGGTGCAGCTGCCAACCGGGTACTTCTTTGGTGCTTCTGCTGGCACTGGAGATCTCTCTGGTGAGAGGGGCTTTGCTCAGGGGAACACGTGGTGGTTGGAGCCTGGATTAGGTGACCCTGCCTTGGCAGGGGAGTTGGATCTCCAGAGGTCCCTTCCAACCTAAAAATGTAATCCTGGGATTCAAACACTGGATGCACTGGATAGTTTCCATTGCTTCCTTTGTCTGGATTGTTCACTGGGCTCTTGAAACCCTTTTGGGACCCATGACTGGGGAAAGGAGGCACCTGAGAGCTAAACAACATCTGTGGATTGCAGTTTGATACCTGGGGATGAGGGTGGCTTGGGAGGGAAGGAGACTGGACCTGGCAGAGGACGCTCTGAGGGGTGCTCTGAGTGTGTGGACATCTCAGAGCTTCTGATGGTGTTTGCTGCTCACGGTTGTTCCTCAGACAATCACGACATCATCTCGATGAAGCTGTTCCAGCTCATGGTGGAGCACCCTGTAGAAGATGAGGCCGTTGACTGGACCAAGATCGAGCCGAGGGTCAGCCTCCTGAAATCCCCCAAAGGTGAGCCTGTGGGCTTTGGAAACCTTCCGTGGGGGATTGGGAGGTCTGGGAGGCACTGAAGGTGTGACACCCGGCAGAACTCCCCAGGAGCCGAGGTTCTGTTGGTGTCTGCAGCTGTTCTTTCCCTTGCAGACAACGTGGATGACCCGACGGGGAATTTCCGGAGCGGGCCGCTGACGGGCTGGAAGGTGTTCCTGCTCCTGCTCTGTGCCCTGCTGGGCATCATCGTCTGCGCCGTGGTGGGAGCCGTGGTCTTCCAGAAGCGCCAGGAGCGGAACAAGCGTTTCTACTAGTGGGGCACCTGTGCCCAAACCCATCTTTTTTTATGGGGAGCTGTAAAAAAACTGTGGTTTCTAAATGCTGTTTCTGAGAAATACCAGAAGTATTTTCTTACCTGTCTGTTTGGCTGTAACCCCTGCCTGGCCCTTGGCCTCCCGCGGGTTGGACTGAGGGCAGTGGTGCCCGCTGGCTCCCCAGAGCTCTGGTGAGGGAGCCTGGAGGTTGCTCCCCGGTTTTTCCAGCGCTCCCCCCGCCTTGCTGGGACTTGCTGTGCTGCCCGGGGCAGGTGTGAACATGAGGGGCTGAGGGGAGGGGGTGCGAGTGGGGCATTAAAGGACTGACACCACCCGAGGCTCTGGCTCTGTGTGATGGGGAGAGAAGGGAGCGGGGTGGGCAGTGCTGAAGGGACTGGGGGGATGCAGGGAGGGAATCCTGGGAGGATCCCAAGGGNGCAGGTGGAGTGGCTGTGGGCAGAGCTGCTGCGGGAGCGGCGTCAGGGCCAGCTGCAGGCCGTGAACTTTGAGCTGGAGAGGAAAACGTGGCAGGAGGAGAAGGAGAAGGTGCTGCGGTACCAGCGGGAGCTCCAGGCCAGCTACATGGAGATGTACCACCGGAGCCAGGCACTGGAGCGGGAGCTGCGGCAGCTGCGGGCGGAGCCCAGGGATGTCAGGATCGATTCGCCCTGGATCGAGCGGGTGGAGTCCTCCAAGATCTGAGGGACGGGACGCCAGTGGGACCGAAGGGGGAAGGTCTCTTGCCGCTGCAAAGGGACGATCTCAGGGTGTGCACAAGGACTGGCCCCGCTCGGCGCTGCCCTGGCCTGAAGGACCCATTGCCACAGGGGAGCTTCTCCTTCTTGCAGCACCTCAGGCCCTTCTGGTGGGGTCTCTGGAGGGCGGGGGGTCATCTGTGCCAGGGTGGGGGTCTTGCATGTGCTCCCTGCTCTGACTCCAGGAGTGTTTGCCCTGTGATTCCTTCTGCCATGAGGGCAGAAACCAAGCACCCTGTGAGACATTCCCTGTCCCTCCTGCTCTGCTGCCCCTGTTCCTACAACCCATAACTTAATGTGAGAAGCTGAAGCCCTGTCCCCCACCCCACTGCCTTGCTGCTGTCTTTGTCAGCAGGGCCCTGGGGCTGGTGGTGCCTCTGGGCAGGCAGAGGAGGAAACCCCGAGGAGTTCTGGTGCTGCTGGGAGGGGGCAGCTGCCCCAGCACCTCTGCTGGGGCTTCTCGTGCCCCCAGTGTGGAGCTGCTCTGCAGTGGAGGTGGCTGGTGCAGCTTTCTTCGGGCTGAGATGGGGGAATGCCTTGTGCAAGGAGGGATGGGAACTGGTGCTCTGCCACACTGGGAGGAACTGGGGTGGGAGAAAGGACTGGGGCATGGGCCTGAGGTGGGGCAGAGCTGGGGTCCCCCCTCCCAGGGGAGGTGAGGGGGAGCTGGGGAGCCCAGAGGTGCTGGAAGGAGAGCCCCACACTCTTGTGTGTGTTACAGCAGAACCACGTGAAGGCCGGGCCTGGCCCCACACCCCATTCCTGCAATAAACTTGTATTTCTCTCTCCCAGCCTTTGCTCTGCTTCCCTCGGGGTCGGGGGGCTCCTGGCCGTGAGTTTGGGGGTGTGGGGCCGGGCTGGGCGGTANCCGTGTGGACCCTTGGGGCTGGCTGGGAAAGGGGGTGCCGGGGGTGTGTCCCGGCTGCCCGGCATCGCTGACTCTGTCTCTTCCCCGGCAGCGCTGGTTCTGGGCTTTTCTCTAATTCTCCATGGCAGCAGCACAGGGTCCTGTGACCTGTGAGCCCGACACGCGTGTCCTCGGCACCTACCTCTCCTCGGAGCCCGTCGGCGTGGTTGGCAGCATGGGCAGCGTGGGCAGCCTGGTGGAGAAGCAGGATCTGTCCCCCCTGGAGCTGCGGGCCCCGCTGGGCGGCTCGCGGGGGCTCCGGCAGCCCGACGGGCTGCTGCGCAAGGGGCCGAACCAGCGGGAGCTCTTTGGGTACCTGCACGGGGCCAAGAAGGAGACGCGGGCGGAGCGGAAGCACCAGACATCGGGCGCCTGCTACAAGCGGGACTACGAGAGCGACCGCGAGAACCGATCCCCCGAGCGCTGCTCCCGCGAGCATCACCGCGGGGCCGACTTCTCCAAGAGCTCCCTGCCGGAGCGGGGCCGCTTCGACAAGGTGAGGCTGTGAGAGCCTGAAATACAGCCTGGTCTGCGAGAGGGTGGGGATGGAGCAGGATGATCTGCACCCTTTTGGATGGGATGTGGGGATTTGAAAATGTTCAGGGATATGAAGCTGGGAGTGTGTGGGTTCTCTTTGGGTGTAGAGGCTCATGCTTGACCTTGCTCTTGTTTTTCAGTGTCGTATCAGGCCCTCGGCCTTCAAGGCAGTGGCTGGGAAGGGGCTGGTCTCCATGCAGGGCCTGTCCTCGTCCAAGGGGCAGAAGCTGTCCAAGAGCAATGGGAGCCTGCACACGCTGCTGTCGCAGAGCAGCACAGCGGCCCCGCAGCACGGCCCGCTCCGCACCCACCTGCTCCACGCCATCAGCCTGGATGAGGCCTCTGACTCCAGCCACAACTCCATCCAGAGCTTCCCCTCCTACGGCTCCCGCCTCAAGCCTGCCCAGAGCCAGTTCAGCGCCTCCATGGGCCACATCAACCACATCGGGGGCTCCCTGGACAGGGTTTCCCGGAGCCCCAGGGATACCCTGGCCCCTGAGAAGATGCCCCTGTCCTGCAAAAGCATGGCCACCCTGAGCAGGCTGCAGAGCCCCGGCGAGCCCCCACCACCCTACGAGTTCTCCTACTCGCTGGAGGACGCGGTGAAGCAGCTGGAGGACCGGCTGCAGGAGACAGGAGGGGAGCTGAGGCAGCTCAAGAGGAGCCTCAGCGAGACTGAAGACCCCTTCACACAGGTGAGCTGTGCTGGGTGCCCCAGGCAGGGATGTGGGGGTGGAAGGAGCAGTGAAGGAGTTTCTGTGGTGGGTGATGGGCTTGGAATGGCCAAGCACGGGAGGATCAAATATCTCAGGACCTCTTGGGGTCCCTCCTGGGGCTACAGCCACTCACCAGTGTCCTCCTGTGCTGGCAGGCGTTTGAGGACAAGCAGCGGCTGTGGCTGGATGAGCTGGAGGACCTGAAGCAGATGTACATGGCCCGGCTGCAGCAGGTGATGCAGCAGGCGCAGCGCGGGCAGCGGGCGCTGCAGCTGCAGCTCTACAAGGCGCAGCAGGAGAAGAAGCGGCTGCAGGAGGAGCTGAGCCTGCAGCAGTGCCAGTGCGAGGAGAGCAAGCTGCGGCAGCCCCAGGGCGAGCATGGCAGCCCCAAACTGGAGGAGACCAAGTGGGAGGTGAGTCCCCTTCCTTTCCTTCCTTTCACCACCCTCCTGGCTGTGGGGCCAGGATGGGGGCAGCAGTTCCCTGCTCTGGTGTCACTCAGGGTCACAGTACAGGAGGGTTGAGCCATGTGTGGTGCTTATGGTCTCTCAGGAGGACAGCCTGAGGTGCTGCCACCTCTTGGGTCCTGCTCCCCCAGCCTCACTGCTCGCTGTGCCCTGCAGGTGTGCCAGAAAGCAGCAGAGATCTCCCTGCTGAAGCAGCAGCTCCGGGACACCCAGGAGGAGATGGCTCAGAAGCTGGGGGAGATCTTCAGCCTGAAGACGCAGCTGCGGGAGGCCAAGGCAGAGGTCCAGGCCAGGGACTCGCAGCTGGCACAGCTGGCAGACTCCTTCCAGAGCCCCCCCGAGCCCGGCNCGTCGTGGGCTCCGCACCGGCTGGCGCTGCTGGTGCCCTTCCGAGAGCGCTTCGAGGAGCTGCTGGCCTTCGTGCCCTACATGCACCGCTTCCTCAGCAAGAAGAAGATCCGCCACCGCATCTTCATCCTCAACCAAGTGGATCATTTCAGGTATGGCGTCTGCCTGTGCCGAGGGGTCCTGCCCGAGGCTCTGGGAGTGCTGGGAGGGTGCTGCAGAGAAGTGTAGGACCCGGGCAATGGGATGTCAGGGGCAGTGTGTGATGCTCTCCCCAAAGCTGCTCATTCTGGAGCTCAGAGATGGACAAAGTGCTGGTTTGCTTCTTCCTTCCTTAGCAAGAATAGAATCTGAGCATAGAATCCTTTATCCTCAGGTATTTCAGCTTTATCCTTTATCCTCGGGTATTTCAGCTTTCTCCCCAGTGTCACAGGTCTGCAGCAGCAAACATACGGGGACTGTGGAGGTGAGAGACAGGCCACAGGGTGTTTGGCAATGCTGTCACCCCCAGCTCACTGTGCAGGATGCAGAGCTGTGTTTGCATGTGTCCCTGTTTGGGGACCGGTCAGAAATTGAGCATTGATGATTGTGGCAGGGGGATGTGGGGACAGTGGCTGCTCTGCTTGGTGGCACTGAGAGCCCCCAGCCCCTGGCAGGTTTAACAGAGCATCCCTGATCAACGTGGGCTTCCTGGAGAGCGGCAACGACACCGACTACATCGCCATGCACGACGTGGATCTCCTGCCCCTCAACGAGCACCTGGACTACAGCTTCCCCGAGGCAGGGCCCTTCCACGTGGCATCCCCCGAGCTGCACCCGCTCTACCACTACAAGACCTACGTGGGTGGCATCCTGCTGCTCACCAAGCAGCACTACGAGCTGGTGAGCTCCTGGGTGGGATGTCCTGGACAGTTTGGAGCAGCAGCTATGGTATTGTCATGGTGAACTTGGGAAGTGGGGACGGGAATTAAAATGGTTTGGGGACAGGGCCTGTGGTCTGAGCTGCTGGGGGCTGGACAGGGGAGGCTGGGCTGGTGTGTGCTCCTCTGAGGCTGTGGAGTTGTGCTGGGCCTTGGCTGCTATGGTGCTGCTCTCGTTGCAGTGCAATGGGATGTCCAACCGCTTCTGGGGCTGGGGACGGGAGGACGATGAGTTCTATCGACGTATCAAAGGAGCTGGTCTCCAGGTAAGGGGTCTCTGCCCCCTCCTGCCTTGAAATTTTGGCCTTTTTTACATCTCTTCACCTGTCCCTCACTGTGACCACCCAGTTTGGGGTGTGGGGAAAGCAGCCCTGTGCTCCAGCAGCTGGTGCAGGAGTTTCCCAGTAGCTTTATGGAAGCTCTGCTCTTCTCCCAGGTCCGTCGTCCCTCTGGAATCACAACTGGATACGAGACTTTCCAGCACCTGCACGACCCAGCCTGGAGGAAGAGAGACCAGAAGCGCATTGCTGCACAGAAACAGGTGAGAGCTGTGGTCCAGGAGAGCCACAGGACCTTGGGGCTGTGGTCACCGTGTGCTCTGAGCCCTCCTTGCTCCTGTCCTCCTCTGCCATCTCTGGCTCCCTCCCCGGGCCCTGGGTGCTTCTCCCTGCCAGCCTGGGCTGAGCAGTCTCTCTCTCCCTCAGGAGCAGTTCAAGGTGGATCGGGAGGGAGGCCTGAACAACGTGAGGTACCGAATCGAGTCACGCACGGATCTGAGCGTGGCAGGAGCCCCTTGCACTGTCCTCAATGTCCTGCTGGACTGTGACATGAACGAGACCCCGTGGTGCACGTTTGGCTGAGCCCATCCCCTTTGCCAGTCGTGGCTCTGTGCTGGTGCCAAGGCTCCCTGGCTGCCGTGCAGCTGCCTGGAGCAGGCAGGGGTTTGCAGCGGATGAGCGTGGCAGTGCTGGCGAGACACAGAGGAGCAGAAGGGGCTGAGAACTGGACTTTGCTGGGAGCTACAGAGGAGGCTGAGAGTGGGACTCGCTGGTGTCGCTGCAGGCGCTGGTGCTGCCTCCCAGGGCAGTGCAGGACGTGGCTTTCCTGTGCTGGACGTGGCTGAGCTGCCACGCAGCTCTGAGGACAATAAAGAACTGTCAGGGCACCTGTGAGTTGTGAATGCCCTGGGCTGTGCTGGCACCACTCCATTTTCCTGTTCCCTTCACCTTCCCTCAGCACACCTGTCCTGGCTTGGCCCCAGCTCCTCTCTGTGTGACAGGTGAGCCCTGAGCTGCTCTGGCTCTGAGGCCAAGCCAGTCTGAAATGGGCTCTGGGAGAGAGATGGTGCCTCTTCAGTGCCCCCAGGGCTGGGCTGTTGGCATTTCACTGCAGGAAGTGGTTGTGGTTGAGCCGTGCCCGAGCCCCAGCATCCACAGCCCTGCTGGGTGTCAGCACTTGTAGGCCAGGACCTCTCTGGGGTGAGGAGGAGAGTTCTGGCTGTGCTTTCCTTGCCTTGCCTGCCTTCCTGTGTGTGCTGTCTCAGCCCTTCTGGGGGGGTTGGAAAATCGGATGTCTCCTCTGGGGTCTTGGCACAGGTTGTGGGTGCTGCTGCCTCCTCAGGCTGGGCAGACCCAGCTGAACAGCCAGTACCTCTCTGTTCAGCCCCACCACTAGCTCTGGCACCAGGCCCTCTGCGTTTCCTGGCCCCTTCTGTCCTCGTCTCCTGCCTGCCACTTCCTGGAGTGGTTGCTTTGCATCCTCAGAGAGAAGCTGTTGCCATCGTGGGAAGATTAATAGCTCCAGAGAGGAGGGAGGGAGGGAAAAAAGCATCAGCCAAGTGCAGGGCTCATGTACCCTGTAAGGGCTGTGGGATGGGGTGTCTGGAGGGATCTGGTGCCCCCTTTCTGTGCTGCTCTGGAGCTGGGAGAGGAGTCTGGAGCCCTGGGACAGGGTGTCAGGGTGGTGCAGGATGGTGAGGATCTGCTCTGCAGCGTGGAAGCAGCAGGCTCAGCCTTGGGGCAATGTGGGGCTGTGCTGTCCAAGAGCTCCTGGTGGCCTCTCCAGCCTGCTGGCTCCAAAGCAGCTCTGGTATCTGGTATCAGGTGTCTTTGTGCTGGTACCTGGCATGAAGGTGCTGGTGAGCTTGGACAGCTGCTGCACTTCTCCACAGGTGTTCCGGGACCAGCCATGCCCTTGCTGTGGGCAGCCAGAGGGAGAGAATGGCCCAGCAGCCCCACTCTGCCTGTCCATGGCACAGCTTTGGGATCAGCCATCTGTGTGGCAGCCCCTTCCTGGTGCCTGAACCGCAGCCAGGGCTGGTGGAGGCACATCAAAGCATTTCTCTGTGCCGTTCAAAATAGATGACACAAATTGGGGCAGGTTTCATGGAGACGTGGCTGTGCAGAAACAGAGAGCATATGTGCACCTCGCACTTGGCTCAGCGCTCCAGGCTCCTCTCCCGCTGCCTGGCAGCTTTTTCTCAGCTCTGCTCGCAGCCCCCTCATCCCCCGGTTGCTTTTGTGGAAGAGGCACCCTGCTGGAGACCCGGCTTCCTTTTATAGCCCTGAATGTGACTCGGAGGTCGCTCGGCTCTGCTCCCCCCCCCACGCTTCGGTTTCGGCAATGGCCCAGCGGGAGGGGATGGAGTTTTCCCCATTGCCTTTCACGGATGGATCACACCCTGCCTGCCGTCCCAGGAGCCCTGCAGAGCCCAGCCAAAGCCTCCCGGCGTTCTCATGCTCTCAGCAAGCCTGAGGAGAACATCAGGATGCTCAGGGGCAGAGTGGGCCCCTGGAGGGCCAGCCCTGCCCCTCTGTGACCCCCCCATTCTGGGGTCCCAATTACTGTTCAAGCAGGGGCAGCAATTGATGGCTTTTATTGCCAGGTTGTTATAAAGTGGATTGTTCCAGAGCTCTTTGCTGGTGGACTCGTGGAATTGCTGTAGTATCTTAGAGGGGAGCACAGGGTGGGTGAGGCGAGCAGAGAGAGGGGACTGGGGAAAAACTCAGAGGAAGCTGAAGCATCTCTGCCTGGAGGAGGTGACATCCCTGGCTGTGCAGTGACCCGGGCAGGGCCAGGCTCCCTGTGGAAGCTGCTGTCCAGGCAGACGTGCT